AGAACCATCCCCAATGTCGTGTGCCCAGAAAAGCAATAAAAGCCTGTCCAGGCGGGGGTTGGGTCCCTCTCTCTCCCTTAGAGAGCCGCCATGCTGTCCCTTTTCCTCCACAGCACTTGCGTAGTCCGGGTGAATTTGTTCGTCGCAGCCACAGCACACGGACCCCGCGGGCCGGAGTCCGCATCAGGGTGGTACTGGCACAGGAGGAAGCGTCTAGAAAGTTGTCTCTGACTGGGATGTGAGAGCGTATCTGTGTGCCGTGAGAATGTTCTAGAATGTTCTCAACTGGAATTCCAGAAGGAGTGGGCGGAGAGAGTGGTGGGAGGAGAGACTGTGAGGGGAAGAGGAAAGGACCGGGGTGGGGCAGAACGGGCCTTCCAGGGGCCACGGACAGCCCCGCGCTGGAGGGCAAGGCCCGGCCGCAGGGCAGGGAAGAGCAGGGCATCCATCCTTCTCTGCCCGCCCCAGGCATCCACGCCCCCCAACACGCACCCTGCGCCCCCAGCCCATCCCCACAACTTGTTCTGTTCCCACGAGGAGCGCGGGTGAATGGCCGTTCCCAGGCCCGCAGCATCGCGAGAACGGTGGCCAGTACATGCTCAAGTCACAGCAAGCACATTGGTTTCAGTCCTTTTATTTTCACTGAAAGATCAAGGATCCAGTCCACACCTCAGAGATAAGTTACCAGGAAGCCTCAAAAAGGTGCCATCACAGCCATCCCCAAGGCTTGATTTCCTGAACGTAAATAACAGCTTTTCTCAAATACAAACATTCCTGAGAGAAAGGCAGTGAGAGGGATGCCTGCCGGAGAATGCCCGGGTGGAACGCCCCGTGGGCAGACCGCAGCCCTCCCCAAGCGCCTGCCCCCGCCCCCGAGGCCTCGAAGGGCCCCCCCCCGCCCCGAGAGCGGGGGCCTCGCTTCTCAGCTTCAAAGTGCAAGTGAAACAACAAATCTCCATCTCTTACACAGTATTCCAAGGCTGTTTAACATATTTTGCTCAACGTATAAAATCACATCGAATTTTAAAAATATTTTCCCAAACACAAAATAAATATAAAACATCATGTAAAAAAAAAAAGATTGTCCGGACATCGCAGAATTTTCAGGAGGAACACGTTTATCACATCTATAAGAACTAACCCACACAAGTACATCGTTATTTAAGTCATTTATTTTTTATTAAATACGTCTGTCATTATTAACGAATCATAAATAAATCATATGCCCACTCCCAAAATATGACAGAAGGGTCTAGGAGATCCCTCTACATTGCAGGAAGACGACATTTTCAAGTGTCCTTCAGTTACATATAAATTTACTTCTATTTGACATCTGACCACCAAGTCTCCTGGATTGGCATTAAGTGACTTCCAGTCATGCTGGAGATTTTTCTCGCTTTCCTGTTTGACCGGGTGTAAACTAAGCCAATGCGGCCCGATCTGGCTTTAACTAAGGGGTCATCACTCCTTGGGTCCCTCTCTCCGTCTGCAGACTGAGGGGCCGGAGCCTGGAGCCCACGGGACCCGCACCCACGTCCCGGGAGCGTGTGCGTGGCGGGACCTCTGCGCCGGGCTGTGTGAACGCCACACCAGCCGCGGAAACTCGGAATGCCCGAGGCACCAGTGTCTTAAACCCAAGGAGGGAGGTAGTGCAACAGACGGACAGTGCAAAACAGGGCGACGCCAAAAATACGCTTGGCTACGGACGTGACTTTTCCACTTAGATCTGAGGGTGACTATTCTGACAACCTGTCAGCTGGGCCCCCGACGTCCTTGAGCACGTGCTCACACACCCTGACTCGGGCCAGACACTGCTCCCTGTGTGGGAGGGCGACAGAGAGGACCCGCTGTGATGGCGTGGTGGGTAGAAATATTCGTTTGACAGTGAGCCAGGCCTGCGCAGGGAAACGCAAAGCCAGAAAGCGGGAAAGACTGGTGGGTGGTCACCCGGCAGGTTGGTGGTAGAGGCAGGACTAGAACCTGCTGGGATTCTTGGGCGGGCCCTCTCCTGACAAGTGATATAAGCACAAGGCCTCAGCAATCTCAGGAGCACACGTCTCCATGCAGCAGCCAGCGTGACCCGGCATCGCCCCTTCTGGGGCTCGCCCGTCTCGGAGCCGGGGTAGGGTGGCTGTTTAAACCATCTCAGGCCGCACTGCCGTGGGGGGGGGGGGCCATCGGAAGTTCACTGTGGATGGTCTCACCATGCAGTGTCAAGGTCGCAGTGCCATGTACAAGATGGCGAGCACGAGAGAGTTCTGGGCCGAAGACAAACAGGGGGCCATCCACAATGATGAGCATCTACAGCCCCGAGGCCCGATGAGCCCACCGGGGCGCAGAGCAGAGCCAGGGAAGAAAGGGGGACCAAGGGGGGCCCTCGGCACGCCCGCGCTGCAAGTCGAAGCGAAGACACGACAGGCAAAGGCGAGGGAAGAGGAGGAGAACCCGGAGCCCCGGGTGCCCTGGAGGCCAGGGAGGACAGCTGGGCCGGGAACAGCAAGACCAGGCGAGTGTGTGGCCCGGCAAGATGAGGACTGAGAACGGACCGTGGACCCAGCCACTCGGGTCATCGGTGACCTGGATGAGTACCATCTGATGGCGTGGGGGGGGGCGGTCACCCGAGTCTGATTAGACAGGGTTTCAGAAAGAATAGGAGAGGGGTTTCAGAGGACAAACAAACATATGTCCCTCCCCTGGGGCCACAAAGTGCGAAGGGAACAGAAGCGGGAAAGGGGGTGTCAAGGGAAGGCTGCTGTGGTTTTTCGGGTGGGAAACGACAGCCCGTTTGCAGGCCTGCGGGGTGGCCAGCCCACAGGGAGACATGGACGGTGAGGGCGGGCAGGAGTCTGGCTCCGGAGTTGGTGAGAAGAGCTGGAGATCCAATCCGGAGGTGGAGGGGCTGGTGCCTGGGGAGCCCCGTGGACGGCAGGGCCCGGGGATCTGGACACTGATGAGGGGGCGCCAGTAGTGGTGGGAGACTGAGGAGGGGCCTGAGCAGGGAGGGAGCTCCCAAGTCCTCCTGCACACTGACAGCCTGGGGCCACGGGCCCACGAGTCACCGACACACAGTGCCCCCAGTGGCTCGGGTTCACGTGCTATTTCTGCTACTTTCAGCTACACAGCCTCCAGCCAGCCAGTCACCCTCCCTCTCTGTGCCTCAGCCTCCACACCGGCAAAGCAGGGACCCTGGGGGTGCCCTCCCAGCAGCGCCGTGTGAGCACGTAAGGAGGCAACCCCTGCATGTGCTTGGGTCACGGCTGACGCTCAGAAGGCCAGATCCTGAGCCGTCAGCGCAGAGGGGCTGGCTTGACTGGCCTGGGCCGCACAGACGCACACACCAGACAGGTGGACATCTAAGCACAGACCCAGCCTTGCTGCCCAACCAACGCCGTTCCCTACGGGGTCAGAGGAGGCCCATCCTACGGGACCGAGGGATGTGGCCCTGGCTTCAGAAGACACGCAGAGTGCCCGACTTCCCCACCTGAGGAGGGGGCTCTTCTGAACGTGACCCGGCACATTCAGAGCAGCCGGGGGAAGGAAACACGTCTGAGAAGCAGCGGCTCCACCCAAACACGTGCACGCGCACACACACACACACACACACACACTGTGCAGTTTAGGACACCAGACCCCCCACTGCACTTCAGCGCGGCCGCGGCCAGCGTGCAGCGCGTGTCTCTTCCCGAGTGCAGGTCAGAGCTCGGTCCAACACGCATCTGTTACGCAGCCACGTGAGGCCTTTGCCGCGAGTGCTGGCCAAGTCAAGTCCAATAAAGTAAACGCTAAGAACCATCCGTCCCTACGAGCAGCAGCCAGATGACCTGCATGTCACGTGACAGGGGCCGGATGGGCCAAGGCCCTGGGGAAGGAGTGCCCTGTTTTCTCACAACCCTGCACAACAGGCTCACACGTCGCCTGGGAGGACTTGGAAGGCCGAACTCCACCCCGCAGGACTCAGCTGTGTCTTGGCCACAGGAGAAATGCAAAGATGACACTGGGGTCAGGCTGGAGCAGCAGACACAGGTGAAGACCGCTCACTGGAACAGGGCTCCGTGCGGCGACCAGTGTCCGGGGGGACCTGGAAAGTGTCTTCACCTACGTCCACCTGAAGTCCCGGAAGAGCTCCCAGAATACCTCCCGGACCAAGCTCTGCGCCGCACTGCCCTCCCCTGTGAACTCGGAGACCTAACGCACAGCCCAGGGCGTCTGGAGCGGACAGACGGGAGGCCGGAGGTGGCTCGGAGGAGACGCCATGCTCCTGGGGAGGTCAGCAGTGTGCCAACAAGTCCACACAAGGAAAGGGCCAGGCTGTGCAGTGATTTCTGGGCAAAATGTATAAAAACGGGTTGGTTGGGAACCGAGCTGCAGCCGTGGTAGGCTATCTCCTGGGAGGAGCTGAGCACCCTGCGCCCAGGGACTCCGTGCCCACCCCCCCAACATCCATGGCAGGAAAGAAGGCAGCCGGGCGCCCGTGCGTGCACCCCAGTCTCAGCAGCGAGGAAGAGCACGGCACTGGGAGCTGAGGAGCAGGGACGCCCCTCGTGGCCTGAGCGGCGCCAGCAGCAAGGCTGCGCTCGGAGCCTCCTCACGGCTGGCCATTCTCGCTCACGGGCACCCACCGGGGCCTAACAGCCCCCGATGTCCCTCCCTGCTCTGACCTTTGTCGGCTGGGAGCCCGGGGACAAGTTCCTGTACCTCCCAAAGCTGCCGCTGCCTCCTGTGTCCAACGAGAATGATGACGCCCCCACCCCACGTGGATGCTGGCCCCCGAAATGAGAAAGCACGGGTGTGCGTCCCACACCTGGCGCGATGGTGGGGTGCTCAAGAGGTGGGGCCTGTTGCTGCCTGGGGCACTAAGTCGAAACTGACCAGTGGTTTCATCTGAGCTTTCGTCCTAGTTCAGATTTGGAACACTGCACAACGTCACCCTCCCCCGTCCTTCCTCCCCTCCCCCTCCTTCCTCCCCTCCCCCCCTTCTCCCCTCCCCCTCCTTCCTTCCATCCTGTCCCCTGACAATCTGCAGCAACGCCATCCCAAGATCTTTGGAGAACCACCACCGCCGACTGTCAGAGGCGCGTCCAGGCGCGCCGCCGGGCCCCCTCACTCAGCCGGACACTCCTCCCCGCGGGAGCTCTCCAGAGCGCGCCAGTAGAGCAGCATCTTCTGGGGCCCGACGAAGTGGCAGGCCACGACCTTCCGGAAGCGGCACGTGGAAAAGCTCAGCCCGCCGGGGAAGAAGGTCTGCCGCGAGTGAAGCTCCTCCAGGCCGATGTCCAGTTTCTTGAGGCAGAGCCCCACGAAGACGTCTTCCAGCTTCAGGAAGGGGATGCTCTCCGAAACGTTGTACACCCGGCTCGCCACGTCGCCGGAGAACACGTAGGCCGTGCCGGAGCAGAAGGGCGGGTACCTGTCCCACGGGTACTCGTACCTGCTGACGAACCACTTGCTGCGCCTCTGCCGGATCGGGTGCTCGTGCATCTTCAAGTAGCCGGTGAAGAACCGGGTCGTCCTGTTCTTCCTCAGCAGCAGCTCGGTCAGGTAGTGGACGTTGATGAACATGTCAGAGTCCGTCTTCATCACGAACGCCGCCTGCGGGCAGAAGTGGTGGACCCACTCGATGCCCATCATGGTCTTCAGGGTCAAGTTGAAGTACACGTCCATGAAGTCTTTCTGGATGACGTCGCGATGCTGCCTGCTCTCCCGGGCCACCGCCTCCGCTACGTCCTTCCTGGCACTGGTCCCCAGGAGGAACAGTGTTTTCACCCGCCTTCCCCGCACGACCGTCTCCCGGCCCCACGTGCTCCGGATGGCCAGGCGCGCGAACTCCTGCTCGGGCGACGAGGTCACCAGCAGCAGGAGGAAGGGAGGCTCCTGCTGGCAGTCGGCGTCCGGGAGCTGGAGGAACTTCCCGCCGTCCCGCTTGAAAACAAACAGCTGGCCCCTGAAGACCGACAGGTCGTACATGCTGAAATACAAACAGAGGGCTCCCAGGGCCACAAGGGAAATGTACATCCACCTCATCTTCGCAGAAGCCATCTGAAAGGAGCAAAACCGAATGGTTACACCTCAGACGCAGGGGAGGGGGGGCACAGGAGCTGTATCCCGGGAGGCTGGGATGGAGGAAGAGACCCGGGTTTCGTGGCTGGCGTCTCAGCAACCCTGGGGGCTCCCTGCGCACAGACCAGATGCCGTGGTCCAACGGTTAGGCAAGGGTGACCGTCGGGGTGGTTCACTCCACGCTCTACGATCAGGACCACAGGGAACAGACGCTGGCCCCGGCTTCAGGGCCAGCACCCCCTTCGCCGTTCCCTTCTAGGAGGACATGCAGCCACCTCTCTCACTAGCTCCTTCCAGCTGTGCTCTTCTCTAAGTCTACAGTAACGCCCAGCGGGAGCCCTGACCAGGCTGGCAGCCGCGCGCTCTAGTTCTGAGCGTGCGGACCACCTGCGTTCTTCTCCGACGGAACCGAGCGCCGTTCCGTCCCTCCCAGAAAGGAGAAGACCAGCTCCCTGGCTTGTATGGCTGCCTCGGATTCCGCCCCTGCTCGTGGCGGTTTGTTATCTTATTGTCCCAGGTTATTTCTTCAAATCACCCGCGTCCGCCGTCTCACACCCATCCACCTCTGTCTGTTCTCAGCAAACGCGGGATGACTCGTGTGAACGTCAGAACGTTAAGAAAGCAAATAACTAGCCCTGGCTGGCGTAGCTCAGTGGATTGAGTGCGGGCTGCGAACCAAAGCGTCGCAGGTTCGATTCCCAGTCAGGGTACATGCTTGGGTTGCAGGCTATAACCCCCAGCAACCGCACATTGATGTTTCTCTCTCTCCCTCTATCTCCCTCCCTTCCCTCTCTAAAAATAAATAAATAGGTAAATCTTAAAAAAAAAAAAAAAGAAAAGAAAGCAAAGAACTCACATTCTCCTGGGTGAGATGAGCCACTGGTTTGACAGCTAAGGCACAGGGAAGACTCCAAGAGGAAATTCGTTCCGATCCGTCGCCAGCACAGGCTGTGCTGTGCTCTCAGGCTGTGCCGTGCTCTCAGGTTCTGGCTTGGTTAGCTTGCTGAAAATGACGGCACGCTTTCTCAGGAACCACTCTACGAAAACAACAACAACAGCAGCAAAAAGAATAGCGTCATTCGAATCACTCTCGCCTCATAAGCAGCTCTTCGCCTACTGAGCCTCACTGGTCGCTGGCGCGCCGCCCCACCACCGGCCTTCCTAGCCTTGGAAGGACGTCACAGCCTCACCCAGCCTCACTCTTGTCACCTGCAAAACGAGGACAACGGAGACAAACGCCACTACCCGGTTCACCTGCTGACAAAAATAACACGACGCAGGTGCCCGAGCATCCTTGCTGGCCCAAGGTGCGGTATGAGCGGCCCTCGGAGCGCTGTGCAGAGATGTACGTCACTCCCTGTCCCGTTTCTCCTGCCACCATCCATCCGCCTTCTCCACGACCAAAGGGTGGCTGACGCTCCGAGAACTCACCATGGAGAAGGAACCCATCCACCCTCAACTCAGCGCCCGTGTCTCCGAAACGCCGCCCTACCCGAGAGGACAGAGGGGCCCGGAGGAAAAGAAATGGCCACGTGACATGAAGAGACTCTATTAACTGTTGACTCAGCACCGACTCCGTTTTCCTTTGGGAATCAGCTAACGGTGCTGCAGAGCAGAAATAAAAAGCGGGGTGGGGGGGCCCCCCCTGCCGTGGACTTCGGACGGGCCACTGGGACGGGGAGACGGGGGTGTGGGAAGTAGAGGCTCTGGTCACAGGCGGCCAGGCCACAGTGGTGGTGTAACTTGGCACAAGGTCCGCCAACGTGCCAGGCCTGTGTCCTCGTCTCCGACGGGGGTGACAATGCCTCCTTCACAAGAGGGTCAGAAGGCCCTGGGTGCTGGGCTGTCATTATTTCTGTCATGGTTTCTTTCCAGAGTGTGCCCTTTGTTTTTAATCCTCACCAAAAGATGTTCGTTGATTGTAAAGAGAAAGGAGTGGGGAGAGAGAAACAGGATGTGGGATGTGGGAAACATCAGTAGGTTGCCTCGTACCCCGACCAAGGATCGAAGCTGCAACACAGGTATGGGCCCTGACCGGGGATCAAACCCACAACCTTTCGGTGTACGGACGATGCTCCAGCCAAAGGAGCCGACCAGCCAGGGCAGAGTGCGCCCTTGAACAGCACAGGTGGCACTCGGTCATGTCGACTCGGTCCCCCCTTGCTAGAGCACCCTGCCCACACGCTCCCGGTCACAGACCAGTGGAGTGTTCTGTCCGCAGGATGACCCAAACCCAGGCAGCAGGGAGGGTGGTCTGCAAGTTGCTCTGACAGCCTCAGCCCTGACTGGCGGCCCACGTGCCCGGCCACGCCTGCAGAGGCGTCAGGGCCCCTGGGGAGAGAACACAGCCGGGGGCCACCAGAAAGGACAGTGAGTGGCCTTTGGATGCAGACTTGTTGCTCCACTCTCAGTCATTTTGAATGAGACGGCCACACAGTGCACAGGCTCACTCAACAGCATCTCTACCACCCCCACTGACTGGCACAGTGAAGTCGTCATTGTTCACGCATGCACATTCCAGTCTGTTCTCCTTGGCTGCCAGGTTACATCGATGTCACCCAAACGATTCTCGTTAGAGTAACAACGGCTGGACTTTTTCCAGACAGGCCTCATATACCATGGATCTTTATTTAATAAGATTCATAGAACAAAATACTCAGGACTACAAAGGAAATCAATTACATTGAAATAAACTTATCAGAATGTGTTTAAAGCACGCCGGAGCGATGTTCTGTGCCACGGTGCACGCACTTCTTCAGTGCTGTCTCTACCAACGACTCCCAGCTCCGCGCCAAATCACTGTGTTCACGGGGAAGGCAGCAGAGCTCTGTCTGAGTTTGGAAACACCCACCACTACACTAGGACGTGAAAGTACCAGTGACTTCTTTTGGAGGCAGAGGCACAGACTCTACCGCTACGTGGGTTCAGTGCCTGTTATGGGCTGAATTGTCTGCCCCCCAGATTCATAGGCCGGAGTCCCAACCCCCAGGACCTCAAAATGCCCCCTTATTTGGAGATCAGAAATTGACCCAGGTACGACGAGGTCATTAGGGTGGGTCCTAATCCGTTTATGACTGGTGTCTTAGTCAAAAGGGGAAATCTAGATGCAGCCACACACGCACACACACACACACACACACACACACACACAGGAAGAATGTCATGTGACAATGTCACTGATCGGGGTGCTGCTTCTACAAGCCAAGGAACCCGAAGATGGCCAGCAACCACCAGAAGCTGGGGAGAGGGGGGGACAGACTCTCCCTCACAGCCTCAGAAGGAGCCAGCCCTGCCAGCCCCTGGGTTTTGGACTTCCAGTCTCCAGCACGGGGAGACGATAAGTACCGGCTGTCTAAGCCCCTCCGTGTGTGGCACTGGGCAGTCCCTGGAAACCGCTCCAGGGCCCAGAATCATGATGGAAGAAGCACTACATTTCAGGTCACGAAAATAAGAAAGTAATTGTTTCCCCATCTAAGGTGCCAGACCCCGGGGGATCGCTCCTGGTCGGCATTTGGGGTCTTCCCCAGGCGCACACGCCTGACTCTCACATTTAAAAACTGGCGAGGGTGGCGGCAGCTCGAGGGGCAGGAAGGCAACAGCCCTGTGGGCACCCGAGGCAGTGGGCGGGGTCGTCCCCCCGCGTTTTCTGTCGCCCTGAGGTCTGTGGCTGTCGTCGTTGTTTCTCCCTGACCTGCCCTTCGGACAGAGCCGGGGCTGAGCTCGGGCCTGCGAGTCCGGGCGGGGGTCAGGCAGAGTGGGACTTGGGACACTGTGAACAACGCGCTTTTACCACTCTTTTTGGTAAAAGATTTTTTTTTGTAATTTTATGAAAAAAAATGGTAACCGTGCTGACAATGTTTCAAATGTTCCTCCTTAACAAAACAAACCGTCCACTCCATTTCGACCCCTCCCCCACTTGAGAAATGTCTTACCCTCTCCCGAGGCTCCCTGGGGCAGCCCCACGGGGGCCCCGCTGGGAGTGCCCTCTTGGATATGGCCGGTCACCCCAGCTGCCCTGGACGCTGTGGGTCGCCGCCCAGGCAAGGGCGGGGGAGGGCAGGTTGCAAGCAGAGGTGTTTAGGGGGCACCTGGCGAGAAGGAAAACTCACGTGCCCCAACCCCTGCGAGGAATGGTTTCTGTCTCGGCCTTTCGAGTCACGTCCTCAGCTCAGCCGAGAGCGGGGAACAAAAATCTCATTCATCCCTCAGCTTCCAGGCTGGCAGCGGCTGCGGGAAATGTCACCAGGAAGTGCCCCCCCCCCCCCCCCCGCCGCCCCAGCAGGGCCTCGGGAGCACTCTGTGCCTGTCCCCTGAGGCCGTCCGGCTCAGGACAGAATACACCCTGCTGGACAGGCTCTCACCCCAGGCTCTTCCACGGCCTCAGAAAACCTCATCTGAGAGGGATTTAAGCAAAAAGAGAGAGAGAGAGAGAGAGAGAGAGAAGAAGAGACAAGACTCGCGGGCACAGACAACAGTGCAGTGACTGCCCGAGGGCAGGGGGCGGGGGTAGATGGTCAAAGGCGATAAATGGTGATGGCCTGACTTGGGGTGGCGACCACACAAAACAATGGACAAAGGATGTGCGATAGACTTGTATACCTGAAACCCATACAATTTTATTAACCAATGTCACCCCAGTAAAATTCAATGTAAAAAAAAAGAAAAAGAAAGCTTCACCTGAGTGTGGCAGGCAGCGCTCCAGGGCCCAGGGTTCAACAACAAGAAAAAACGAACCCTTGAGGGGTCACAGCCCCCAGGACAAGCAGGGCGGCCACTAGACACACGACCAGCTAGGAGGCGAGCGGGCCTGACCGGGGGGATCTCTCTGAACCCCCTTCTCGACAAGAGCTCAGCCTCTGGACCTCCGTGTCCGTCTGTGCATCGCCCAGTTTTAGCAGGAACCCTGCTGAGTGGGCTGAGCCAGGACCCCCGCCCTCGTTACCTGATGCAACTCCCCACCCTCCGGGTTTGGTGTCTGCCCGGCCTGGCCCGCCTTCGGCGAGAACCCTGCGGAGTCGCCGGGATGCCCCCCCTCGTCACTCCCTCCCACGGAGGCCGCCCTGCCCCTGGCTGGGAAGCTCTGCTGCCCGTGCTGCCATTGGAGCGCCACCCAGCCCCACCGGACCTCGCCTCCCCACATTGCAACCATTTCTGAGCCAAACCCGTTTGGGCACATTCTCCCCTGTCCAGCCAGCTGCTTTTTCTCTGACAGACAGAGGAGAGAGCGGGGGTCCCGCCTGGGGGCGCTCAGGACAGCTGCCCTGGGAAGGCCCACGGGCAGGGGCAGCAAGCCCGGAGGGGCCTGGCGGGCTCCGGAAACAAGGTCCTGTGAGACGGGAAAGCTCAGCGGCGGGGCTGGAGGTCAGGCAGGGTGGGCTCAGCACGGGGGCCTTACAGGGCACGTGAGGAGCTGGACCTCTTCTGAGGACAGCAGGGGGTCCTCAAGCCTTCTCCAGGCTTCAGAGGCCCGTGAGCCCGGGGTCCGATGGGGCCCCTCACCCCCCTCCGCGATCCAGCGGAGAAGCCCCCGCTTGCTTTGCGTACGGCATCTCCCATCAAACCCAGTGACTGCGCAGACGGAGTCCAGGGGTTCGTGCCAATGACCGCCGGCCTCAGAACCGGTCACTGCAGAGCCTGAGGGAGGCGGTTCGGGGACCGGCATCTCAGGCAGCTCGGGGCGGCCCTGGCAAAATGCCGCAGGACACCTGACGTCCACCTCCTCTCAGCTGTGGGAGCTGGAAGCTGGAGCTCAGGCTCCCAGCACATTGGGCTCTCTCCCTCTTTATTGAGGGTAAATCAGTAAACATATCCTCGGGTGAGGACTTAAGGAAAAAAAAAAAAGAAAAAAAAAGATGGCAACCGACCCATCCACCAAGCTCCTTACAAATCAGCTGCGTCCTGCCCTCCCCGTGCCAGCTGACCTCCCCGCCCCGCCCCGCCCCCACCCCACCCTCGGGCCACACTTGTTCCCTCCCAGCTCACGGGAGAGACCCAGTCTCCGCCCTGTGCCCACGTCCCTCACGCCTCCTTCCCCTTCTGCCCCGTGCACCTCCGCTCCCCGAGCTCCAGCCTAACCCTCCAGGCACACTCCGGTTTCTCTTGAGAACGCATAAGTCTTTCTCCTGTTAACCCTCCAGGGCAATGTCCTGTATTTGTTACCCATGGCACCCACTGGGTGGCATTTTATCGATTTCACTAATGGGATCAGATTTTGTTATTTCTTTGGGCCAGCCTCGGAGTGCTGTCCCCCTTTCCCACTGGTGAATGCCAGCAGAAGGACAGAGCCCTTTCTGTGTTTTTTCCCCCGCTGTAGTATTTGCGCAGCATCTGGCCCACAGAAGCCCACAGGGAAGTCCCGCATGGACCGCAAGCGATGCCCACGTCTCCCAAAGCTGAATCGTGCGTCTGTGCCACCGGGTGCGCTTCCTGCAGGAGAACAAGCGCTCGCTTTGTACAGCACGGCCCCGGGATGGACTCGCTCTGTGAAATTTTTCAGGGCATTTGGGACCTTTTGCTGTAGGTACATTTCATTAGACTCTAGCTATTTCCCAGAAGCAAGAGAACCTGGCTTATTTCAATGAAAGCGGAAGTAATATCACAATCGCAAAAGTTCCGCCCACCGTTCACAGTGAGCAGGAGGCTGAGAGCGTTCAGAAACTCAAGTCAACTATGGAGAGCACTCAGAAACTCAAGTCGACCGCTCCCCCGTGAGGGGAGCGAAAACCTGTGCGGCGGAGAGAGACGGGAAACTACCTGTGCGCACAGAGTGTTAATTCCAGCACTTCCCGTTGGTCCCAGGACCCGGGCCAAGGAAGAGGAAGGAAAATCACCTTCGCTCAAACACGAGTGCATGCCCAACACAAAGCACAGCTGTCCGGGCACAGACTTCGAGTGCACAGGTGTGTCAACACCACAAGGCCGGTGACTCAGAAGCAGCTACACCCCTGCGGGCCCTCCCGCCTCGCATGCCTTTGCCCTCCAGGGCACACAGAGACCGCGCTCAACGCCCACCGCTTCTCGTGGGAAAACGCCCTCTGCCCGGGGGTCTCCCAGCCCTGACAGAAGGGGACCACAAAGCCCCACCAACGAGCAAAAAGCTGAGTCCACACACCTGGGTCCGCACAGGCAGGCCCACCCCCCAGACTGCCGTGGGTAACTGCAATCGTCATCATTTATCTTCTACGAGAACGTTCTCTGGCTTGCGGGCCATTTGAGAATGCCCTCCGTTTCACTGCAGGAAGCAAGGCTGGACATTCTTCTGTCCCGGTGGGGCCTCCTGTCACCTGTCACGGATGGGTGATTTCTACCTCGACGCGATGCACCCCTTTCTCAGCTGTCAATTCTGTTGTTTTCCCTACGGGGCGATCACACAGCTTCCTCCGGCCTGTCGTGACTTGCTCTCGTCCTCAGGGAAGGGGCAGATTCTACCGAGAACACAGGACTAGGGAAGGCGCTTGGAGCTGTTCCTCTCGCAGAAGCGGAGCGAAACCTCACGACCTCTGCCCGCTGCGTCCAGAACACTTGGCCCGGCCTGAAGCCATTCCGGAACCCAATGTGGAGGCCGTGACAGCCGGCCAAGAAACCGGCCGACGGGGGAGGGCTGAGGCCCCCTTTGTAACATTTCAACACGGACCTACGGAGTTGCCAAGAGTCCCCACTGAAGCTTCAAGGCCGCTCGAGCTGACGTTCCCGTACAGACGTGAGCCAGGAACAGTGAAACAGCCCACGGCTGAAGAGGATCAGCAACGAGGAGCGGGCAAAAACCTTTACCGTTTTCTTAAGCAAGCCAATGTCTACATGACACTCTAGAAACAAATCTCAACAAGCCATCTGCGTGTGAGTATTGTGCTGGTTACGAATATTCTTACCCGGATTATTACTGGACAGGGACCGGGTCCGGAGCGGGTCTGCCTCGGGCCAGCCTGCGGAGTGCGGGTTCTTGGCTTCGCGCAGGAAAGATGTCAGTGTCACAGCAGGAGTCCAGGCGGCTTTGAGAGTACGTTTATGACAGCTGGGACAGTGAGACAAGGAAGGGCTTAGGGTTGCAAAAGCAACAGGAGAGAGCTTGGGCAGGGCTGGCTCACTGAGGTTCACCGTGAGGGGAGTGAACGAAGGCGGGGCTGCTGTCTGCTCCCCCGGAAGTCGGAGAACAAAAGCCTTTGAGGGCGGGCTCAGGGGGTCAGCCAGGATGAGCCTCTGCTCCCCACTGCTCCCCACTGCTCCCCAAGTCACGTGGGGACCCTGAGCACTTAGGGAGAAAGAAACGGGGAAGAAAGGTGTGGGCATGCCCCAGAGGGACCCTGCCCTAGGTCCTTCGTCTTAAGGGCTTTTAAAGGCTGGGAGGTTAAGCCCTGGCTGGCGTAGCCCAGTGGATTGAGCTCGGGCTGCAAACCAAAGCATCGCAGGTTCAATTCCCAGCCAGGGCACATCCCTGGGTTGCAGGCCATGGCCCCGAGCAACCGCACATTGATGTTTCTCTCTCTCTCTCCTTCTCCCTCTCTTCCCTCTCTAAAAATAAATCAATAAAATCTTTTAAAAAATGAAAAAAAAAAAGGCTGACAGGTTAGGGGAGCTCTTAGAGGGAGACCACAACAGGATGTTCATCAGCTTTGTGCTGCCCCGACTTCATCATCCTTGGGTGGGGCTGGCATAAACGATGCGAATTGGATTTCTGCTATCTCCCTGAGCAGGGCAATATCAGCTATTCTCCCTCTGGGTGGGGAGGAAAAGTGCCAATCATTTATTCTTGAGTCCTCGGTTAGGGGAGACAGGATTTTGGGATTCGACTGCTTGGTTTATTTAACTGTCTGCCTCGGTTTCCCTCTTCCACCTGTCCCGGCTCACCGGCCTGTCCCAGGACCCGAGCGCAGGCCTCCCCCCAGGGCACTCCCACAGCCCGTCTGCTCGCCATCCTGCACTTCCCAGGTGCTTCTGAGACGCAGGAGCAGGAACAGTGGATGTTACTACACCTAACCACCATTTCGCTAGTTTAAACTGAACTTCTCCTAAACCACTGAACGTGGCGGCACCCCACTGCAGTCGTGACCAGTAATGCTGAGTCACGCCTACCTTAAAGTTCTCTTATTAGCGGGGGGTCCCGGAGCAAGACAGCCAGTCACGGGGGAGCCTCGCGGCCCCCGTGCAGGAGATGGGGCCGCCCATCCACATCAGCCTCCTCCCCCCATAGATAAACCACGGCAGCCTCTCCTCGGCTCCCAGACCAAACACCGCTCAGCCTTCTGCAAGGAGTCCCGCAGTCACTGCCCATCAGGAATCTCTGGGTCAAGAATCAATGTGCATGGGAAGAAAAGAATGCTGTATCTGCCTCGCTTCGTCCCCACGCGCCCCAGGGACCCCACGGCCCAGCACTGCGGGAAGGAAATCACGGAAGACACACAAATATTTGTTGAATAAACAATCTAAGATGAATCAGCTGGGTAGAGTCTATGACCACAAAACAAAGGACGCTCTTTCCCTGTATCGACAAGCCCCACAGCATATCCACATTCATAATTCCGTCCCCGTCATCGTGCTCAGGTAGAAAATGTCCATATCCTGGGACCCAGGCCTGGTGGCTCTGTCTGCGGTCATGACCACACATATTGACAATGAGCAATGCAAACGGTGTTGGTTTTCCTGCTAAGGTGACAGCCACTGCCTAGGTAGGCTCCTGCGTTATGCATGACAGCCCAACAAAAACTCACTCCAAACAAATGTTCAAAGCACCAAACGCCGGCTCAGCCTCGAGTCTTCGCTCCCTTCCACATGGATCTTGTGCAACAAACAGCCTGTGCTCCCACTGTCCTGCCGTGGCCGCTGCCACGGTTTCTCCGAAATGGCTCTGCCAAAGGGGACCCACCGCCTGCGCTGGGTCGGGGAAGAACTGACCTAGGAATGAATGCTCACAGCCCTCTTCTCCCCCCCCCCAACACACCCCAAATCCTGCCTTTACCAGCTTGCCTGTTGCGTGAAACTACGGTAACGGATGAGGGAAGACTGGGGAATTCTGGACTCCTCCCAGAGTTACTGGGAGGAGAATAAAACAAAGCCAGCAGAGGCGAGCAGCGGTGCTGGGATGAGAGAAAGGGCGAGCGAGAGAGGCTGAACCGCAGAGACTTTGGAGAGCTAAGGGAAAGGGGCAGGGGAGCTTGGAAGGTGGCAGCTACGGAGTGTGGAGAGAATGTACATTCTTGTTGGGTATCAACAAGACTGACAGAAGAAAACTGTCTTGGGTGTTGTTTTTTAGCAAAGATTCCAGTTGCCTTTTGGGTATCAAACAGACAATACACACACATATATATATGCCAGATAAGATTCTGAAAGACAAAATGTCGGCCCTGACCAGCGTGGCTTAGTTGGTTGAATGCCGTCCCACAAAGCGAAAGGTCGCCGGTTTGATTCCCGGTCACGGCACCTGCCTGGGTGGCGTGTTCGGCCCCCATACAGGGTGTGTATGGGAGGCAACCGATCCATGCTTCTCTCCCTTTCTTTCTCCCTCCCTTCTCCTCTCTCAATAAATAAATAAAATCTTTTAAAAAGGGAGAAGAAGAAAGAATACCATGTCGACACTGACCCACAGGCACACCGGCTTTATGCAGACTTGACCTCCCGGGCCCTGCCTGGGCGGGTGGGTGTGTCTGCCCAGGCTTTCTTCCCGCCTGGTGCATGCATCTGTTTCCTCTCCTGCCTGCTGGCTTTTCCACTCTGCTTCTCTTCTGCTGGCTCTTCTTCCTTGTCCCGCCCCTAGAACTCAGGGAGGCGTGCCTCTGACCTCTCTTCTCACTGGCACGCCCTCACCCACTGCCGCGAGGGCGCACAAAACCACCCGCCAACCCAGGTCGTCCTCCCGCACTTTGTAACTCGCTCCCAACCCAAACTCGAGCCCCACGCCCCCGAGACCTCTCCACTCCCACCCCTCCCTTCAGGCTGAAGAGCTTCAGAGTCCGCGGCATGAGCGCCAGACTTCTGCCCATTCACTGCCACTGCTTCGTCTCGCAGGCCCCAGACTCGAGCACCGGCCCGCCAGCCCCCACGTTGTCCGTCACCAGTCACCAGAGCTGTTCAAAAGCACAAGTCCGACAGCATCACTCCAACGATTAAACCTTTCCAGTGGCCACCCATCACCTCCCCCATGCACCCGACTCTCCTGCCACCGCTGGCTGGAGGTGCCATGAGCGCGCCCATGGTGTTTCAGGCCTCCAGGCGGCCCTTCCAGTCCAAGGACAGTGTTCCACCCAGAAACTCCTCTCAACCCCTGCAGACCCATTCCGAGCTCTGCCCCTGACCAGCAGACTTAACCATTTCCCCTTTCGGTACCACAATTTCCTGTACATGCCTTCACCAGGATGCTACTGGATTCCAGTGGTTTGTTTATACATGTCTCTCCTCCTTAGACGCAAGTGGCTTGGGACAGGAAATACTTATTTAAATCTCAATGCCTCGTACCATACTTTTCGCATAGTGAACAACGCTCAGTAAACACTTCCTGGGTGCGTAAATATCTACTGTTATGAGTTAAATCGTGTTCCCCTAAATCCCTAAGCTGAAGCCCTCACCCCAGGACCTCAGAATGTGGCCCCCGTTCACAACAGGGTCACTGCAGTTGTAACGAGTCAAGGGGAGGTCATAAAAAAGAAAAAATCTGGACGCAGACACTCGTACACAGAACACTACGTGAAGACGAAGGCAGAGATCAGGGTGATGCTTCTACAGGCCAAGGCACCAATGACGGACCTCAAACCACGGAAGCTGGGGGAGAGGCGGGGCAGCCGCTCTGTCAACCTCAGCACCAGCCCTGCCCGCGCCCTGACCTTGGACACCCAGCTTCCGGAGCTGGGAGGTGATACATTTCTGTTTTTACAGCCCCTCGGTATGGGGCGCCTTGTTATGGTAGCGCTACCCTTATACATTTACGAAGTGAATCAATGAATAAAATCCCTCGGAGTAGTTCTTGAACGAATAATTTGCAAGGTGTCCGTGGTGCGCTTTGCTAAGAGACGCAGACAACAGCAGCAGTGGACGGAACCGCACCCACGGCGAGGCCGCACTCAGTTCCACCACCGCGGGCTTCCTCCTCTCACCATGAATCACCTGAAAGGGAAGTTTTTTCCCCACATATGGAAAAAAAATCTTCCCATACTAGATCTTCATTTTTGCTTGGAGAAAACTCGACGGGCAGAAAAAGTTATCAAAGGGCAGGCAAATGGTTGCGTTAAGAGTGGGGGAACCACCGGGGAGCTATTTCCACTCAGCGGTGTCCCCTCCTGGGTTCGGTGTTTCCGCTGGCCTTACCTCCCTCCCAGGGGCTGGGCCCTCTCCTCTGGCCACCTCGAGGCAGCCACGGCTTTCCAGTGAGTCTGCGGAAACCACCTTCCCTGAAATAGAAGAAGAGAATGCTAACACGCAAACAACGTGTCCCAGCCAGAGGACAGTCACCTCCCGTGTCTTTGACTGTTTCTCACGAGTCCACGGGGCGAGCCACGAACGTGTGCAAGAGGAATTTCACTGCCCTAGGTCACCAACGCCCAAGTCATCACGTCATGAGGCACTGCCGTGGGGACGTCGGCCAGTGTGGCTGCAGCGGGCACAGGGAGAATTCACGGAAAACCCCCTCTCCCCCACTTGGGTTTGCTGTGGACTCTGCTCCGTGCTCACTGTCTTACTCCGCTCCTAGTCTGCCTCAAAGTGCACAGCTTTCACAAAAGACAACTTTGGCAGGAAAACCACGGATTTCAAGGTGAAATGATTCACAGTGAAAAACATGACACTTCTTAAAAGCTCATTAAAAAGGTTGGGCACTGGCGGGTTTGTTAAAGAGCCCTACTGATCCACGTAACGACAGCTCTTCATTTCCTCACTTTTAGTGCCAGTTGTCACAGAACAGGCTGGGACCATTTTCCTCTTAAAAAAACTAAAACTGGCAATGTGCCCTAAGAATTTGATTAAGGATATATATTGTAACAATAAAAAGAACAAAACATATAAATTGAAGAAACAAGAACTCAAAGTCAGACTAAAATAAGTGGCTTCTAAGCACCACTTTCAAACCCTCATCATTTTCATTTTAAACCAGCATTTCCCGTTATTATAACTGCATACGCTTCAGAATAGCAGTGTAACTGTCCACAGATTTAAGAGGAAAACAAAAAGCCATCATCCTGGTCATAAAGCAATAAAACTAGGAATTAACATTAATTTTGATCAAGATCATCAAAAATCCCAACCACTTAGAAATAAAGAAAATTAACTAGGAAGTCAACGTAGAAATTAAATGTGCAATAAGAGACTACTTATAAAACAAAACAGATCATAACACTAGATAGAACTTTTCACGACGTGTTCAAAGCTGCTTCTAGAGGCAAATGCATAGCCTTAAGTATTTTCATTATTAAAGGAGAGAAAGCAAAGAACTAAGTTCTCAAAGGTTTTACAAACAAAAATTATAGAAAAGAGCAGGAATAATAAAATGAGAAGCAGGATTATATTTACCAAACATTAAAACAAAATACTACTGATAAATATGTGCATTTTCTCTCTCTTTCAAATGGGCTAAGCTCTAACACACCCAATACAGAAAGTGGGAAGAAAACAATACAACGAGAAACGGACATGAGAACTGCTGGTTTTACATATAGAAGACAACCAAGATGCTGAGAGTTCTGTGTCTGGAACCCAATAGAACCGGGTCAGACCTTAAGTCTGCCGCTTGTTGGTCATGAGACTCTGGGCCTATTTAACTTCTTAAGACAGTTCCCTCTATAAAGGAGAAATGGAAAACTTTTGAAATGAGAAAATAATGCAAAAGACCTCCTGAAGTTTTTGTGAAATCAAATTAAGTACTTCGTGGTACTACTCCAGAACTAATAAGCTCTCAGGCAGTACTCAAAATCATCCCTAAGACTTCTGCGATGTTAGTTTGCTTGATCTGTAAGGCCCTGCAATCCCTTCGGACGTGTGCTCAGGACACAGTCACTCGACATGGCCCCGTGAGGTCCACTCACAAGTGTGCAGGGTGACGCTTGTGATTTCATCTTCAAACTAATGCGATTCTTAGCAATTGCTGAAAGGTCAAATTCTTCCAGACTTAGAGTGGGACTGACAGGGCAGAATCTGGTGAGAGAGCAGGCTGACATGGAGGGACTGACCAGGGTCAAAACGTTCTCCAAAAAATAAGTCCGGGCAACACAGCTGTGTGCAAAGAGGTGGGGGGGGGGGGACCCCTCCTAAAATGTCCAGAGGTCACCTAGTTAGAATCTGCCTGCACAAAGGGGGACCGTGAAGTGGCAACAGTGAGGCAACATCTAGGAACAGAACGATGAAGAACAAAGCGTAGAAGTTAGATGGCAAGAGCCAGGAGGGGAAATGAAAAGGGATGCAGTGGACACAACAGAGAAAAACCACACTAACGTCCCAACAATGGCTAACACCCACCCTTCCTGTGCTCCAGCGACGGTGCCAAGCACTTTTGATGTGGGTGCTCATTCGTTGTCACCATATCCAGGAGGGGGCGCTAACGTTCTCCGTGTTTAAGGAGACCCCCCCCCCCCACCCGCACAGTGGAATCACTAGCCTGGGACCTAGAGGGAGTTAGAGGTCAAAGGCAGCATCCACAGCCTGGAAAAGCACTCATGGGTCCACAGTCCTAAACCCCACTGCTCACCAGCCCCCCCCGTCCCCCAGAGCCGCAGAGGAGGGTCCCAAAAGAAGGCAGGGGTCCTCATCAGTGTCAACCCCACAGAAAACTGGGGAGCCCGAAGCTCTCAGGCTTCCGGAAGGCAGCTTCGGTGCAGGAACTGGGGCTAACCCCCGAGAGCCAGTGGCAGTCTTTTGGAAAGGTAAAGAAGGCCATCAGGGCGGTCAGCTTGAAACGTCCCATACACGGAACCAACAGCTAAAGAGACCAGGATCCAAACCATGACACGTGGCCGCTGGAGAGCTCCTCTACATCCCTTGGAACCCCGCTCAGACACCACCACTTCTGGGCAGGCTTCTCCCATCCTGTCCTCCCCAGAACCGACCACCCCTCTCTTCCCCGGCCTCCCACAGCCCACTGTCACAGCTGCTGGGGCGCTGACTCCCCACCTGGACGATGAGCTCTGTGCCGTCAGGGACTGCCATTCATTTACGTAACCTGGGGGTCTAGCCTCGCGTCCCATTTGGAGCAAGGAGGCAGGTACTCAGTAAACAGCTGTTGCATTAAAAAAAATGGGATGTGGGCAGGGGTGGGGAGAATAGGGCTGTTCAGTCAAGCCCTGAGGACAAGACAAACCAGGAGATGAATGAGCAATGGCTGGTGAAGAACTGCGATGGAAACAAGAAAAGAGAGAAGAAAGAAATGCCAGTCAACATCTCCCCCAGAACTCAAGTCCATGACAGTACGAGTACCTTACCTGTTAACAAGGGGTGGGGGTGGGGGGGGCGTTCACCAGCAGCAAACAGCAAACAACCTGATTTTTAGAAAAGGGCAAAGGACATGAATAGACATGTCTCCACGGAAGACTTTCAGAGGGCCAATAAATTCATGAAAAGATGCTCATCGTCACTAATCATTAGGGAAATGCAAATCAAAACCACAATGAGATACGACTTCGCACCTACTAGGATGGCTATTATAAAAAAAATTTTTTATTAACAAGTGTTGGCAAGTATGTAGAGAAATTGGAATTCACCCCGTGCATTGCTGGTGGGAATGCAAAATCGTGCAGTACTGTGGAAAATGGTATGGCAATTCCTCAAAAACAATTTCAGCACAATCCAGTAACTCTACTTCTGAGTATAAACCCAAGAGAAATGACAGCAGGGACTCAAATATTTGTACACCTACGTTCCTAGCAGCGTTCGTCACCGTAGCCAAAAGGCTGGAAGCAACCCCAAGGGCCCGTCAACAGATGAATGGATGAACAAAGTGTGTTTACACACAGATAATGTATACACACGTGGAGTATCATTTAGTTTTAAAAAGGAAGAACATGCTGACAAACGCCACAACACAGATGAACTCTGGGCGCATCGTGCTAAGTGAAGCGAACGCCCCAGACACAGAAAGACGAACGCCGTGCGATTCCGCTTACACGAGATACCTAGCGTGGTCAAGTTCACAGGGACAGAAAGTAGACGGTGGGTGCCAGGGGCTGAAGGACTGTTGGGAGAGCTGCCTGATCGTGGGGACAAGGATGCCTTCTGCAGTGATGAAAATATCCTGCAACTGGAGAGGGGACGGTTGACAACATTGTGAACAGACTGAACACCATGGAATTGTGGCTCAAATGGTCCGTTCGATTTAAGTAGATTAAGTACTGCACCACAATAACAAGACAGAACTTGGGTTTCATTTTATTGTAAAGTTTATGGGTAAAATATTTGATATTGATATTATACTCTGATAAAACTATTTATTAAAAAAAAAAAAAGAAAGAAAAGAATCAAGGGTTGAAGGGAAGCCAAGATCAGAGCTAAAGGGAATGTGGAGTGCTTGTTGGCAGTGGAGTCCAATTTCCCAACACTGCACCCCACCGGGCACCAAGAGGCCCCGGATGTGCTTGGGGGTTGGGGGCAGTGGGTGCGGTATGGGAGAGGGGTGGGGTTGCACGCTGGGGAACCACTGGATGAAACAAAATGAAACAGGCGTCCTTATGGCACGGCTCTTTGGAAACTTACCAAGTTAATGTGCACAGCGAATCTCAAAAAGAAGATTGGTGGGCAGGGTTATCCGGATGTCTCTGATTCTAGAACACTTTCTGAGAAATGCACCCCACAGGCTAATGAAATGAAACATAAATGCTGACTGCGCGTGGTTATGGCTGAGTCGTCAGGAGAGTGAGAGCCAGCCTGCTTTGTGAATCTCAATGGCTGGGAACCAACCACACGAAAAATTCCCTTCTAAGTGACTTCCAGCCAAGATGGAGGCGTATGTAGATACTACTGCCTCCTCGCACAACCAAACGGAGGACGACAACAAATTTAAAGACAAAAAACAACCACGACTGACAGAAAACCGGACTGTATGGAAGTCTAACAACCAAGGAGTTAAAGAAGAAACATCCACCCAGACTGGCAGGAGGGGCGGAGATGGGCAGCCAGGGCAGAGGGGATGCATGGCAAGGCGGTGGCTAGAGGACTGGGCGGTCCCACATCCGTGTGCAGATAAACCAGGAGGAACAGCTGGGGAAACGAGACAGACTGCTCAAACCCAAGTTTCCAGTACAGGGAAATAAAGTCCCAACACCTCTGACTGGAAAAACCTATGGGGGGTTGAGGTTTCTCATCTAAGAAAAAGAAGATAAAAAATATGAACAGTAAAATGACAACAAACTCACAACTATCAACAACCGAACCTTACAAAAAAATGAACTAAGCAATTAGAACAGGAACATATCCACAGAAAGAGAGATCACATCGGCAGGGAGGGGGAAGAGGGAGAATGGGGGAAAAGGTACAGGGAATAAGCAGCATAAAGGGCAGGTACACAATAGACGGGGGGAGGCTAAAAATAGTATAAGACATGGAGAAGCCAAAGAACTTAACATGTACGACCCATGAACATGAACTCAAGTGGGGGAATGATGATAAGAGGGGGGTAACAGGTCGGGGGGGCAGAGGGAGATAACAATGGGACAACTATAATAGCACAATCAATAAAATAGATTGTTTTAAGAAAGGGAAAAAAAAAAGAAAAATTCCCTTCTCACCTCCTAACTCATCTCTAAAGTTTAACCTCTCACGTGGCATTTAGCATGATCAGTGTTCATTGTCCTGAAAGAGCACCACCGCTTTACCAGATGGAATAACAAGTGCGAAATAAGTAATACTTAATGTTTGAAAGTTAAATCCGAACGCTAGGCAACCGTTACAAGATAAAGAGAATGACTGTTTGATTATTAAGGTGTGCTAAGGTCCTTGTCATGAGAGAGAAAATGATAAAATAAAAAACTTTAAATTATATATGGTTAAAGTGCATGTTCAAAATTGAGGATAATCATTAAAAGAATGAAAATAAAGTTTGTAGCTTGCAAACCAGCAAAAAGAGAAAATGGGAACATAACAAACTATCAATTCAACAGGAGACAAAAAAAATTCAGAGAACTAAAAAGAAAAAAATGTTGATAAAAACACAGATAATAGAATTAAGTCCAAGTACCTCAGAAATCATACTTCTTATAAATGGATTAAACTCAGTTATTTAAAAACAGAATTTGTCAAGTCAGCAAAAAACAATCCATTTATATTCAGGTTCAAGTGACACTCCCAAAGTAAAGGGACGAAGACAGGTGGGAAAGACACCTGCAAACAGCAGGGGAGGGACAGGGGCAGATGGCCAGTGCAGCTGTGTGAGACCAGAGAGGGTCCAAGCCCTGGCCAGTGCGGCACAGCAGGAGCATCATTCCACAATCCGAAAGATTGAGGGTTCAATTCCCAGTCAGGGCACATGCCTAGGTTTCCGATTCGACCAATCCATGTTTCTCTCTCACTTCAGTGGTTCTCCCCCACTCCTTCTCCCTCCCTTTCCCTCTCTCTAAAATACCGGTAAGTATGTCCTTGGGCGAAGATTTAATTAATTAGTAAATTAATTTTTAAATAATTTTTTAAAAAGAAGAGAATTAAAACCAAGACCACCAATATGACACAGCAATTCGCCGTATCATAGGACACAGCCTTGATGAACCTGTAAGCCTTCCGCATCACCTCAAAACACGTAACACAAAACTGACAGCACTCCAAAGGTAAAGTGTATTTTTACACATTTCTCACAGAAAGTATAACACAAACAAACCAAAACATATAGTAATAATAGTGATTTGATCAAAATTAATACATTTCATTTAATAAATATGTAAAGAAAAAATATGGAGAGAAATAGCAAATAAACATTCTTTTTGATTGCACACGCACCATTTATAGGAACTAAAACTTAACATAAAAACATAATGAAGAAAAATGTTTTGAAACTTTTAAATATATACATGAAATAATTATGGATTAAGGAAGATCCAAATACTAATGAAGCTATCAAACATGTGGAATGAAACTAAAAATTACTTAGGAATAAATTTATGGATCAAAAAAGAATAATTTATAATAAGGGAACACTTACAAGGCAGAAAGGAAAGAAATGAGGATGTGAGTAGCAAAGAAAAAGAGAAAAAAAACAAAATAGAAGATAAAACAAAAATGACCTCTACATACTCAAAAATTGTTTATTAGAAAAACTAATAAAATGCTAGCATAATTTAACCAAAAGTGTGGCACAAATAAACCATATTAAAAATTAAAAGGGTCCACAACCACAGTGAAAAAAATTTAATTATAACAGATTATGAACAACTTTAGTCAATAAATTCCAAACTTAGATGAAATTGCTTTTCAAAAATTCACAAGTAACAAAGTTCACGAAACAACCAGAATCTGAACAAAGACATGATGTCTCTAATCAAAACTCTACCTGACCGCACCCGAAAACACAATAATACAAAAAGATACAGAGGTTAAACTTTACTGACTGTTAGAGGGACAAAAAAAATCTACCTTTCGTACAAGCTGTTCTAAAAGAACAGAAAAAATTCTGAACTTCAGGCAGGGATAGTAAAAGGAAAGAAAATCATAAACAATACCTTTCGAACAAATGGGAAGTTCCTAAATAATACATCAGCTCTTTATTAATATACTCTAGCAATAAGTTTAAGGAGGGAAAAAAATCACATGGTTTTCTCAGAAGATACAACAATAAAAAAGAATCAATACAATTTAGCACTAATTCATAATAAAGGGAACGTTCTAAATTTGACAAAGGGTATTCATCAAACACCTAATATAATTATACTTAAGAGTGAAACTAACAGAATTCCTATTAAGATCAAGATGAATATGTCTGTTATCACTGCTGTTATTAAACATTATCCTAGAGGCCCTAGCCAATGCAAGACCTCCCAAAAATGAGACACAAGAATTGGAAGAGAGAAAACTAAGCTATTCTTATTTACAAACAATACTGTATCCGATCAAACAGTCCAAATGATCACACAATTGTATCAGATATTTTGGTTCTGTGTGCCTTCCTGGCAAGTGTGAGGGTTGCGCTTCCCTAAACTTCTGACATCAGGCACGGTCATGTGACTTTTTGTGGCCAGTGAAACGGGAGCTGCAGGGGATAACGCTGAGGGATCGAATTGCAGGTGCTCTACGTACGTTCTAGCTCATTGCTGAGCCTGTGTAAGCACATGCTGATATAAACATGTCATATAATCAAAATATCATGAAATGAATACTCAACAGTTGAAGGTCAGCTGGCTTCAAAAGTATCCTGCATCGGCCCTGGCCAGTGTGGCTCAGCTGCTCAGAGAGCACTGACCCCAAACTGAAACGCTGCGGGTTCGATTCACAGTCGCGGCACATACCTGGGTTTCGGGTTCGATCCCCAGGCCAGGTGCGTATGGGAGGCAGCCAGCCAATGCTTCTCTCTTGCATCGATGTTTCTCTCTCTCACCCTAAAAAGCAATGGAAAGACACGCCCTCAGGGGAGGGTTAAAAAAAAAAAGTATCCTGAATCAGTAATGGACTTGACCTATGAGAAAATAAATGTTTATGGTACCTGAGAAAATAAAATCTTAAGACCTCTGGGACCCCGATGCCTGGCTTGGAGCCCAGGGCCAACTGCACGCCCAGGGAGGAGGGATGGAGCCTGGACGCCCCCAGGACTGGGCTGAGCCGGCCCGAGCGCCTGACCACGGAAGGAGGTCCGTCTCCTTCTGCGCACCGCCCCGTCCCCTGACAGAAGGCCGAAGACTGTCGCCCACGCGAGGAAGCCTGGCCAGGTGTACAGGGTCCCACAAAATCAGACGTGAGCGGTGGTCCTCGTTTATTCAAAGTCCCTGCTTAGAGACCCTCCCAAAGAAAGGGGGCCCGATGTCGGGAGAAAGCTTTGCAAGCACAACACTGTCCCGGGAAGTTTGCTGAGGCGACAGCTTAGTGAGGTGGCTTTACGCTCGGGGCTGCGTGTCCAGGAGCTCAGTGTCAGGGGACCTCACAGTGAGATCCTCGCTGCGCCTATCCCGGCTTCCTCATTCTCTGACTTGCCCAACCAAGAACCTGCGTGAGGTGAACTGACTTGGAACCTGGAGTGTACGATCGTCTAACCCCTAGACTATGCAATGGAAATCAACACAAAAGAATCTTGAATGCGAACTGTACGCAAAAAAAGAAATTTTTTTAATTGCAAAAAGGGGAAAAAAATAAAAGTGTTATGGAAAAGACGACTCAGACGGCCTGGGAGTTTGCGAAGTGGGGTTTATTCGCGCATGCGGACCCAGAGGAGATAAAAAAAAAATCCAAATTCTGGGCCTTGAGCTCAAGCTGGAGTTTCCTTATATGCTTGTTACACTGGCAGAAGGAGGACGGGAAGGAGTGCAGCTGCTAAAAGTGGGGATCAGCCTACGTCCTTGAGATAACTGCTTATCTGGGAACGGCTGCTGGTCAGCTCCTGCCTAAGAATGGCTACTGCTCAGCTATGTCCTGTCACAATCCCCACTTTGATGCTATAAGGTGTTTTTATCCCTTTAGCACCACTGTATACCTGGCTATATGGCTGAGGTCCTTGGGAGGGTTGCAACTGCTGATACTGGTGTTGGTACCGCTGGAGGGCTAGCACGGTGGCAGCTGCCCTAAGAGTCACTGTGGCCCCGTGTTGGACCAAGGTCCGGAGGATGCAGGGCCCCATACGCCTGACACCTCCGGGTCTGGTATCCAATGGTCCTGAATATCACTCCAGTCCGGTGTACCTTCCCTCCCCAAGTGCAGAGGGATCGCTGTGGCTGAACACACCCTGATGGCATGTCAGTGGAGGAGCTGAAAGCTGACCCTGGGAGACAGTAAGAGACCACTCTACCGCTGAGCATAATCCTATGCCCGGGGGGGGTATTACATTTGCAGGCTGGGGCTGAGACAGGGGCCGCATTTGTTCAGCGAAGCATACAACAAACCCACATGCAGAGACCAAACAGAGATCAACTATTCCTCGGGTGATCCGCTCTGTGGGGATTCCATTCCGCAGGGGTCACAGTCACTAGTCCGATTCCCAATGCTCCTGCGAAGGTGCCAATCAAAGTCAGGTACCTTGCGGAACAATGGTCCATTCCTTGGTGTCTTCTTTACTGGCTGGCGTCCTCCGGAGCCTCAGCGTGGGTATTCTAGGTGCAGGCCTAGTCCTCAGGTCCTCAGGATCTGCTGCTATTTTGGCTCGGCTGTAGTGGATCCGAGGGGTGACTCCTGCAGCCTGGGCAATGCTAGCGGCAGCAAGTCTGTCCAGGGCAGTCCAGTTTCCTGGTAGAATTTAGCTAAGGTTCTATTTTCCATCCGCGCCCCTGATCATGCCGTGAGTACTCCCGACAAGCCTGGTTGCTGAGTGCTGCGCTGGGCGACGCACCAGAACCCTGAGGGAGCTCGTAGGCTGCTGGGGCAGGTGCACCCGACGGAGCACCGAGAAGGGCCATGACAGAGGACTGCGCGGACGGCTGTGGGGGCACTTCAGATACACAGCATGTGCCCTCTGCAACTCGACATGAAGGGTAGGAGTGTGTTCAGGATGTGCTTCTGGTGTTCTTTCCTTAATTCAGCCAGGTGCTTCAGCAGCATGTGCGTTCCCTCCCGGCACTGTTCCTGGGATGGGGCCCCCACGAGGAGGTCGTCCGTGTACTGCAGAATTGTCAGGTCTGTCCCCCCTTAGCGAGGGGCTTCAGGTCTCCTGCTAGGGCTTCCCCAAATAGAGTTGGGGAGTTCTTAAACCCCTGGGGCAGTTTAGTCCAGGTCAACTGAGTCTTGACTGCTGTGCATGGATCTTTCCATTCGAAGGCAAAAATGGGTTGGCTGGAAGGTGCCACAGGAATGCAGGAGAAGGCATCCTTCAGATCAAGGCAGGTGAACCACGTTGCTGTTGGGGGAAGCTGGCTCAGGAGGGTGTACGGGTTCGGGATGACCGGTGGAGGGTGACGGCTGCTTTGTTGACAGCCTGCAGATCCTGGACTGGCCGATACCCACTCCCGTCCGGCTGCCATCATGGGTCTGGGCAGGTGTGGCCCCATGTTATGGAGCCAATCCTCTCCGAGCTGCCATGCAGGTGCTGTAACTTGGGGGACCTGCCTCCCAGTCACATCTTGGGCAGGGGGAGTCTTTTTTTTATCTCCCTGGCCCAGAGCATGGCCACAGCTATTCAGCATATCCAAGTGACCAGCCGAAGGCTACAGGCATGTTAAATGACTACGCCATGGGTTAGCTGCAAAGCTGTTGCTGTACAAAACAGCCCTGCATGGTCTTGCTCTGTGTGTCCCTCCCCCAACTCACACCTGTGAGGGAAGGGGTGAAGACATCTTAAAATCTCCTGGACACCTTAAGTTCTGGACCCTATTTTAAATGCCCATTTGGGGTCCCCTCTCTTGGTTGCACCCTGTAACAATCTCTCATTTCAGATATACACCCACTTTAAATTCTTTTAAAGGACAATGGACAAAGGTCTTATCTTCTTGTAACTACTTCTGGCTGGTAATGGATGTTGTCCTACCTACCCGTGGGTCAGGGGTGCCCTGAAGGGGGGGAGGGGGTGTGTGCATCACGGAGGGAGTCCTCCCTGTAAGGGGAAGGACCTTACAGAATCCTGGTCAGTTGGCTGTCACCAGGAAGTCGCAGGCTTGGTGTCCAAAGGCTGGCATTACTGGACCATTGGCATCCTGGTCATACTTTGGAGGTGACAGATTTGGAAAGAGTTGGAAGGCACAATTAAATCATAACCACTAAATGACAAAGGCAGGAACTTAAGTAAAGAATGGCTTATCTGGAGGAAGGTGTACAAGGCATGCTACACTATCCAAAACTCTTGTGGCCCACTGTACTTCACTCGGGGCTGAGGGGAATATATTAGGATTTCCCTCCTTTCAGATACCTGAACCCTTCCTGTCCAAGCCATCAAGACAGAAAAGGGAAAATCAGTTCTAAAGTGAAGCCCACAGATCGCCCAAACCCCTTCACCAACCCAACCACTCAGTTCAGCCAAACCGTTGAGTCTCAGGGGGCGATGATAAAGATGGGCTCTTTAAGCGAGGTTTATATTCACTCACTCATTCAACCAATTACTCTCTGGTAATGAAGTCATAGGCATATGCCCTATGAAAACAGAAGAACACACAGGTTAATTTACACAACAATCCCCAAACCAGTCTCTGTGCCTCTGAGACTGTCTTTTGGGAAGACTTTCAATTGCAAGGTCCTTCCTGCAATAACATTTAGCAATGGCAATTTCACAGGTCCTCCATACCTGTAAATTGTACATCTTTGATGATATTACAAAAACAGTTTCAACTTCCAAATGAAAAGAAACTTTCAAGACAGTTAGCTGCACCATTCTGGTGTCCAATACTGAGCATTGTGATTTCCCTTGAACCATAATTTTTCTCCTTAAGATCACCCTCACTGTTATTAAAGGGACTACTTTGAGTTCTACTTTTCATTTTGACTGTTCGTTTGCATAAACACACCAAGAGCAGCCTGGATCACTTATGATCTTTAAGTCTGCTTTGCTGGAACTCACACAGGGAACCTTTAGATTGACTTCTCAGTCCACCCCCCCCCTTTGGGGCACAGAAGCAGAGCCACACATCCGCCATCTGGCTTCGCCTGTACCAGTTGTTTCACTCAAATCCTTGAGGCTTCCATTGTGCTTACAGGTTCCTTTTTGGCCATCTTTCAGGAAAGCAACCTTCGTTCCTTCTCTGGAAAGACTGCCATGAACCGCACAATTAACCAAAGTACCAGGCTTTTCTCATGGGCATACGCTAGCTTCACAAGTCAATCCCAGTTCCTCAGGGCTTTCTGGTGACAACCAGAACCCATACATGCCTCCTTCAGGCGTGACATTCCAGTCAAAGTCTTGGTTAACAAAACCACTACTAACGACTGGTCTTATTGGTTTCCTGCAAAGAACCCTTATGTCTTCACTCACTCCCTCAGAATGCCAAATTCTGGAGGGATCTGGTAGGGAGAAAAATACAAAGCGTGAAGGAAAATCCTTTCCCTTCTGATATCCACCAGGCTTCTCAAAACCTTCACTTCCAGACATTCTGCAACACTCACAAACCCTCTATTCTTTCTTTCATACAGCTTCTGCTATCCACCAAGATTGCATCTCCATGCCTTTTACCTTCTACTATTAACTAACACCACATAATTTCTTCCTAAAACTTTTACTTTTCCATTTATTTTTGCAGTTTCCCACAGACTTTCTTCATTTAAATATATTTTATTTTTTATTTACTTTCCTACAGAGTGTGAAGTTTCAACCTTCCCTGGAATCCTCAATTTCATCTTTAGAGCAGATACAGAGCAAAATCCAAAACACAGAGTTCCAGAACGATACACAGGTAGGGGCATTCTCT